GTTTTGTGGGCCCATTAGTCATTGTTCTAAATGTAACAGGAAACTGTCCGGCAGGTGTGGGTCAGTGGTTGAGCGTCAACCCATGCACCAAGAGGTCACTGTTCGATTCCCGGTCAGGGCACATGCCCAGGTTGTGGGCCCGATCCCCAGTGGGGGGCACGCAGGAGGCAGCCAGTTGATGTTCTCTCTCATCGATATTTCTCTCTCTCTCTCTAAAAGCAATAAAGAAAAAAAAATTTTTTTAAAGTAAAAAAAAAAACCTCAAGTAATATGAATTAAATTTTCAGACACTGTGCTTAGCAATATAAGCCAGTCACAAAAGACAAATACTGTGTGATTCCACACACAGAAGATAGAGTAGTCAAATCCAAAGGCTGGGGTGGGGGACAGTACAGACTCACTGTTGAGTGGGTACAGACAGAGTTTCAATCTAGAAAGAGGAAAAAGTTCGGGAGATGCACATCAATGTGAATATCACTGAAAATGGTTCAAATGACAAATTTTGTTATGTATAGTTTATCACAATTTAAAAAATAAAGCCAAGTAGGGTGGGAAAATAAACTGAGGTGGTGAGTAGGACAAATAGATTTTCCTGTCTTCTGGGGTCAGTATGAGGAATGTAACAGGATTTTGGCTTTTTGGCTACATAAACTGCGATGACTTCCTTGCTCCATTCTTCATTTTCTCTAGGAATAAAGAACGATAAGGGGAAAGGATCTTTAGCTACAAAAAGGGCAGCAGAAATGATCTCCCCTCATTCGAAACAGGTTTCTTCCCTGCTCAGAGTTGCCCTCTCTTCTTGTCCTCCTTTAAGCAGGACAGCCCATCTGACTGGAGACGGCCCCGGAGTCCTGCACATTCCATACGTAGCAAGGGCTCATTGAAAAATAGCATACTGTGAAAATCGACAAGACATATATTTCATAAAGAAGTTTGTTTTGTTTGTTTTTTTAAACCGCTAAATGAGAATGTACTAAGAAGGGAGGGCCCCTCCTGAAATGCAGGGGTTCCCTGGGCTGTCTTTAAACATCTGCACTGCAAAATAAACAAGGGTGACAGAATATTTTGAGATTAAATTACATTTCCCCAGGGTTTTCCCTTTTTCCTGTTTCCTTGTTCCAGCAAGTGGTGGGCTGTCCTCCGTGCTGAATGAAGAGCAGAACACTGTAAAACGGTCCCTAGGAGAGCTGGTGAATTACACGCTGAATCAGGCCGGCAGAGAAGCCAGGTTTGTCCCTCACGATATTGATCTGTACGGTGTCTTCTGAAATGTCAAGTTGTAGACGTTTAAAAATTGGGAAGCCTCACACAAAAATCTGGGTTCCCATTTTTCTTTGAGACATCTTAAGATGACTTGAGCAACAAGCAACCTTGTTTGTCCATCTGACAACAACCAGCTGGATCTGAGCTGCAGCTGTCCCTTTGGAATGGCATAGTAGTTGGGATAACATGAGCCACTGGAGCAAATAGCTCCTCAGATTTCAGTGGCACAACACAAAGGAAGTCAATTTCTCACGTATGTGTAACAAGCCCAGAGCAGGTGAGTCACAGACCGGGGGCCTCTGGAGCTCCTTCCTTCTTGTGGCTCCACCGTTCCTGAAGGCCTTGGAATTTTGGTTTCAGGCTGTGGAATGGGGGAAAAGCAAGCGGAGAAGCACACTGTTTCTCAACCACTTTAATCTGAAAGTGACATCCTCTGCTCCATTCCATTGGTGGGACCCAGTCATGTGACCCACCTAGATGCAAGGGGAGCTGGGAAATGTGGAGCCTGGCTGGGCAGCCACTTCCTGGTGCTGACTCTATTCCATGGAAGAGAAAACACAAATATGTGGTGGGCTTTTACAACTTTGCCACAAATGGGCATGTGGGTGCCAGTTCAGCAGAGTCCCACCACCATCTTTTTATCCCTGAGAGTCCCCAAAGGCATTGGGGGTTTGTGGCCCTGGCTGAAGGTGTTTGTGAACAGAGTGTGAGGAGAAAACACAGAAATTGATGAATTCTCCCTAGGCTGAAAAAGAGATTCCCTTAGGCTGGGAGGAAGAAAGAGAGACAGGTCAGCGGTGCCCTGGGAAGAGGGTCTGTGTGCCTTATTTTCTTGTTATATCGTCTAGGAAACTATAATGCCCTGGGAGGAATGATTGCATGGCATGCCTTGGCAGATGGGATGATAGCTGCCCCCTCCTCCCTCAAATTCCCTGTGTCCCTTGTGGAACATAGAAGTAGCAGAATCGACTAAAGTACCATATAAACCTGCACAGTAGAGACAACTTTTCTGAGTACAGAGGACCAAGTGGCTGTGTGCTTCCTTCTCCACCCCACACCACAAAACTGTAATTCCTGGCGTTAGGGATTATAGAAAGGAGGGAGGCTAACTCCCTGACTCCCACACTAGATTATAGCAGACATTTTCAATTGGTCTGCTGCAAGAATTTGTAAAACATGTAATACCTGACTGTTTAGTCAGGAGCACCAACCTCTTTCCCCTAGATTGTCAAATAAAAAAATGACAACATGCCCTGGCCGGTTTTGCTCAGTGGTTAGAGGTTCGGCCCATGGACCAGAGAGACCCGGGTCTGATTCCTGCTAGGGGCATGTACTTCGGTTGCAGTTTGTCCCTGGCCCCATTTGGGGTCCTGTGGGTGGCAACCAGTCGGTGTGTCTCTCTCAAGAGATGATTCTCTCTTTCTTCCTCCTTCTCTCTCTCCCGCTCTATCTGAAGTGCAAAAATGTCCTTGGGTGAGGGAAAAAAAAAATGACAACAGCCAACACAACAATAGCCTACAGGTGTGAATGCCCTGTCTTGAACCATAAATATATAGGTCAGATAATAGAGTTGCATCTTATTGGTCACATCACATAAGGTTGTGTCTGATTGGTTAATTTTTGGTACCAGAAGCCCTGATATACAAGTAAAGGCACTTAATTTTTTAAAAAGTCACTTTGGAACAAAAAGGGTAGGTAATTACTATTAGTGTTTTTTTTTTTTGTAAATCAATCAAAATTATGCCTTTTTGGGGGGTCGGACTGGCAAAAAATGTATTTTTTTGGCGTGCCACATAATTTTAGTAATTAGTTTATGTGTGCCATGAGATGAAAAAGGTTGAAAATTGTTGGATTAGAATCTAGGAGTCTACAGCCAAGTCATTATATAAAATTACTGATAGGTGATTCTTACACACATGAGTTTATGGACTGAGATTCATACCCTTGTTAAAGAGAAAACAACAGGTCCAAAATGGTGTCACTTGTGCTAAAAGCCCAGGATACCAAACCTAGATTTAATACCTGATCTAATTGCAGTTTCAACCTGTCCTAGAAATGTGCTGTTAATCAATGTCTGGAATTTTCTGTTCAAGCACGAGTTATCTGTCACATTGGCCCTCTCTATCCCCCACAAAAACAGAACTCAGCATGGTCTAAAAATAACCCATTCTTTTCTTTTGTTAATAGTTCCTTTGCCCTATCCATCTTCTTACAACACCCTTCCATTTTGTACACTTCCCAGTGCCCTTCTAGTTGCTAGATGGGATGCTGCCCAGATTCATAAATTGCTTTAAAAAGCCAGTTAGATAGATCTTCAAATGTACTCAGTTGAATTTTGTTTAACACCTTTCATGCAATGTTGCAATTTGTTAAATGAAGGCGCTGAGGAAGGCAGTGACCTTGTTCATTTCAGCTTTTTCTAGAAACTGCCTTCCAACTCCCAAACCCATACCTCTGTTCCCGGCCCCATCCTGCCCACATAGCAGGAAAAGCAAACAAAAGCCAAAATTGTGTTAGTTTACAAGCTTTATTGGAAGGGGTAGCTGACAGTGCAGCTAGTGTGACGAAAAGCCCCAGGATAGGCACTGTGTGTATTCCTGGCACATCAACTTTGCTCAAATATTTGGGAAAATATTTTTATATTAAAAGAAACTAGGTTAGATTGTGGAGTAGAACACCCCGTTAACATTCTTAAAAAATGATGAGATTCCAGACTTCAGAGAAACTTCTCTCTTGCAGGAGAGGGGGGCTTCCCTGTTTCAGAACCCTATGTGGGTCTCCACTGGAGTTCCAGAAGGACACATACGGAAACTTTCGAGCATCGCTGGCCCAGCGCCCGACCTGGCTCTGGGCCTCTCCCCCGGCTTGGGCTGCAGCTCTCCAGAAGTATCGCGTTCCTGTTAATATCTCCTCACGTTTCTAAACTCACAGCTTGTCAGCGCTGGCGAACCTGAGAGCTATTGCCAGGTTCCGGCTCGCCGGTTTTACAAGAGGAAATGAAGAATCAGCAACTTTTAAGGACTTGCGGGGGTTGGAGGCTGCATCCAGGTTTCCCATGCGAGGGATCTTCCCAGAATCCTTAGCTGCCTCTATCCTTTAATCTTGCAGGAATTCTGGACTCCAATGCATCCACGTGCAAAGAACCTCACCCTCCACCCACCCACCCCGGGCCCAGTGTTCATCCAGTAGTTCCATCCCTGGGAGCCCTGCCTCTCCACTGGAGTATCTGGCGCCGTGGGGGTGCTTAGAAAAGTTTGGTGAATCAATGGCTGATGGTTCTGAAACAAATGCATCAGAGCCCAGGGGCTGGTGGAGGAGAGGTGGTTGGATGGGAGGAGTGGGCTGCGATTTCCTCCGCGTCTCTCCCTGCGGCCAAGAGAGAGGGTCTAGGGTCAGGGTCAGAGGGCTGGAACCGCATGATCCAGGCGCAGGAGCCTGAACGCAGGTTGGCAGGGGCAGCTTCTTCCTTCCGCCCACGATCCTCTGGCGGGCACACAGCCCAGCAGGCCGGCTGGTGCAATCTCTCGCACGCCTTGCATTGATCAAAGAGAGGGTTGAAACAGTAAACCCAAGGGGGAGCAACGGCTTCCGGCCTCGGCTAGTGAGCACGACCAATGGGGATGCGTGCCTCATTGGGAGGACCAATCAAAGCATGGCCTGCTACAGCGCGGGCCAATCGGGGGCGCCAGCTGGGCACTAGAAGAAGACAGAGGCACGGCGTTAGCGACACACTCTTGCAGCCCGCGTGTATAGTCTCTCCCGCTGACTTGTCTCCCGCGCTGCAGCACCATGGACACCCCGAGGCAAGTGGTCAATTTCGGGCCGGGGCCCGCCAAGCTGCCGCGCTCGGTAAGTCCCAGCGATCGCGCGCGCGAAATGTGCAGTCCGGGCGTGAGCACGCGCGCGAGTGTCTGCATCTCTGCGCGGGTCCTGAGCATCTCCGCGCCGGGCGCTGGGATTCCCACTCCCACATTGAGGACCCCGAACGTTCTGCACCGGCGTGCAGCCAGTTCAGGATCTCTCGCAGATGGGCTTCTGGAAAAATACACGCGGGGGAGGAAGTTCGGGAGTCGCTCCGAGGCGTGCACAACTTGGCCCGCCGGGGCGTTGCTGGCTTGTCTTTGTAGCACACCTGAAGACTTCTGCAGCCTCCTTTCTCAGCCCCGGGTGTGCGTGCGGCAAAGAGAAACCTCTCCTGCGATGGCCTCGCGGGGCCGTGCCGCGAGCCTGGCTGTGTTGAGTGGATGCATGAATGGACACGAATGAATGGCGTATGGGATCGCGTTAACTGGAGGGGACTGCAAACCAGAGGCCCACGCATGGCTTCCTCTAAACAGTGTTTGGGTTAGCCAGCACTTGGGAACATTGCTTTTCAAAAATGTAAATTTGAAAGTCTTCCATTCCCTCCTAGTCACCAGAACTACCCTTCCCTAAATCCTTTTTGATCGCTTCGGTTTGTGCGTAGATTATATTCATTTTTTAAAAAACCAGCTTGTCTTTTCTGAAGTCCCCCCCACCCCCTTCCCAAATACATTAGAATATTCATGCTCTGGTAGGCCTTGGGCTGCTAGCCCAGTTCGCTTCACTTTGTTGTGGAGCAAATGAATGATTAAATTCTCCCCCGGGCTACTGCCAGACCTTTCAAATGCAACTGGCACACTCTCCTGCCTTCCAACCCCTAGCCAGGTGCCAGGTGCCAGACCCCCCCCCCCCCCCCCCCCCCCCCCCCCCCCCCCCCCGGTTTTACCCTTCCTTAACCTTCGCAGCTGTGGAGAAAGCCGAGTCTCTAAAGTGACTTGAACGCGTTGACAAGTTGCACCGCTGCTGTTAGATTTTTATTTTTCCAACCAAGAAGTCTCTGATAATATGTTGGAGCAACATGGGACACCGCCAAGTACTTTACAATTATCTTTTGTTGAACAGGGTAGAAATCTCACTGGGACAGAGCCTCCTCTGTATTGTAGGAACAGAGAATCTTACAATTTTAGAAGGGAAAGGACATGTTACTTTTCTGGGGGTAGCGGTCACAGTAGCTGAGAGAACATGGCTTATTTTTTCTCTCCGCGGTTGCAGTGTGTTTTAGGCGAGATTCTCTGCCAGAGCTGTGGAAATGTTTCCGGTACCTCCTTACCGTTTTCCTGTCTTCATCTTTTGGATTCAGTATTGTTCCCTGTGTAATTGGTTATGTTTTTATTATAATGGCAGTTGTCAATCATTACTACTATTATTTGTTTACTATTTGTTTTCTGAGAGGAGTTCTGCCCTCAGATGCGCTATCTAACCTGGGGGGCAGATGTTGCTTTGTATGTGACTTGATTTAATTGAATTAAAAGGATTTTTCAAACTGTCTGTAATCACAATGGAAATATATTTTACAAAATGACCAAATACATGTATGTAATTATAACTAAAATAAAAGCCTTATGAAATAGCCTAATTAACTACGACATACCCTCTTGGTATTCTGTTCTGCTCTAGTCTGTTCAATTTCATTAAAACATTGGTTGTGACCCACAAAAGCATTATGGAGTTTGAAAAAAATAAACTCCACTGGATTAAGAGGGCTGTGCTTTATGGACGTAAGTCATAAAACTCTTTGTAATAATTTTGGATATAAACTTATAGAAGTCTTCGAAGAATAATGTCTCTAAGAGAAATACAGCCTTAAACAGAAGTTCAAAGACGATTCTATCTCAGATGGGTGTTTACCAAAGAAAAGGATTCACTAAAGTTAGTTTGATTTAGCCAGTGCTAATAAGCATCCAACAGTGCAAAACAGTGACAGATTTTCAAACCCTCTTTTTTGTCTAATTCTTTATTGTTCAAATGTTTTTTCTTCAGACAAGTCACAATCCAGGTGAGATGGTTTTATGATGTATGTCCTCCTTAACCTGTATCTTTTAAGGAAACGCATCTCTGATGGCTGGATGCTTCTACAGAGGTCTTATTTGTTGTGTGCATGTTTTTTGAGCTCTTCTTTCTCTCTTTTTACTTTGTGGCAGTACATACACAAAAGTAGAGGGAATGCTATAAAGCCATCCATTGGCCAGATTTAACAATGGACATTTTTCCAATCTTATTTCAGTCTCCTTCCCCATCCCACCCCCTTCTCCCTCCTGTCCCAGGATTATGTTAAAGCCAATTCAGATATCAGTCATTTCACTCATAAACATATCAGCATACATCTCTGATGAGTTTTTTTTTTTTTTTTTTTAGGTATTTCCCTTTTCAGCTTGTTATTTTCATTTTACTTGCCTTTTGGGAAACAAAAACAATGGGCCTGCTCTGTAGCTAGAAGCTGCCTTTCCAAAGGAGAGGTTTAGAAGAGATTTAGCTGTGGCCCTCACACTCCATCCCTCTCTAGTTCCTGGCACTGGGATTGGCCCTAAACTGGGTCTGACTTGCCCTGTTGTCCCTGCGAGGTAGAACACGGTTATGGGACTGCAATGATGCTACAGGATAGGTTGAGGAGCTGGTGAGGGCATGTAGCTAAGTCACCATCTGGAGCCTCAGCTGAGATTTCTCCTGGCCAAATTAGGAATAAGCCTATCACCCTCATGGCCCAGCTGTTGGGACCAAAGAACAGTACACCAGTCACTCCTGGAACAGTCTTAATTCACAGCAGGTGCTTCCTAATTCATGCCCTGCCCACCTATCCCATCCCAGTCCAGCACTTTAGACCTAAGGCATGGAAAATCAAGTTGTTTAATTTGGTACCTAGTTGCTTTTTTTTTTCTGACCCAGAACTTCATGCATTTTGTACTTTTGCTTTAAGATGGTGGCAAATGAGGAGGGGCAAGGGGGGCATATTCTAGTTTTTCCCAAAGGTTTTATCTTGATAAAAAGTTGTCTTCAGAAAAATTATATACTTGGTCATTTTCTTTTAAATCCAAGTTATTTTTTTTATGTTTAAGTTAATGCATGCCTTTGGAAAAAACTGTATCCTAACATCAATCATGTTCCATAATTTTGCGTTCAACTTTTGTGAAAATTTCATTCTCTGGGCTCTGTGGGAGGAAGGGGATTGGCTGTAGGAAGGGACAGAAGCTTCCAGATCTCACAGACCCAATGGGTAGAGCCCTTCCCATGCCCCTCCCCACCCCCAAGTTTATATGTCTAGAGGGAGAGCTGTGCACAGAATATTCAAATCACCTATTTTTTCTTTTTTCTTCTAGGTATTGTTAGAGATACAAAAAGAACTATTAGACTACAAAGGCATTGGGATTAGTGTTCTTGGTAAGATTTACTTTTGCATTCTGTGAATGTCCAGGTTTCAAAGGGAACTAATTTAAATGCATCAAACCTGCAATTTCTGCAGGGTCTTTAAAAAAATATGTTTCTATTGATTTTTAGAGAGAAAGCAGAAGGGAGAGAGAGAGAGAGAGAGATCGATCGGGTGCCTTTTTCATGTACCCACTGGGGATCCAGTCCACCTGGGCTTGTGCCCTGACTGGGAATCAAACCTGACACCTCTCTCTGCATGGGACAGTATTCATCCAACTGAGCCACACCTGCCAGGGCTTTATTGGTTTTGCTAGTCATAGGGTCTGAGATCTTACTGTACGTTTGCATACCAGTGGCCCAAATATTTAGTTTTTACTACACTTAAAAATGAACTTATTAAAAGTTTAAAAGTACACAAGGTTTTTATGAGGATATTGCCTGTTAATAATTTCATTAAGTTTCTCTTTTTTATATTACTGGGGAAGAGGACCTTTGAGTTCTAAAATTTTTTTTAGTTCCAAAGACTGCATAGTATTAAGAGTCTATAGGGTTAACTGTATGCTCATTGCTATTAAATATTGTTCCTGTGGGCGTTGGGACATGTAATTTGGCATCTGTGAGGTGAGAGCATAGCGTAGAATTTTGTACTACTGTCCCAAAGGGCAGACATTGCACATAGATTCATGTTTGTGAGAAAGAAGGTGGGAAATCAGAGACCAAAACTGCCACTTGAAAGATCATTCTGTTGTGATACAAGGCTACAGTGCTTGCAATTTGAAAATCAATTTGATATTTTCCCCTAAATGAAGTTGAATGCAAGATAACTGAAATTTCTACTTATTCTGTCTTTAAAACAATTTTTTTTTTCTTTATTGATTTTAGAGAGAGAGGAAGGGAGAGGGAGAGAGAAACATTGCTGAGAGAGAACCGCATGAGTCAAAGCTCAGCCACTGAGCCACACCGGCCGGCTCCACTTTTTCTTTTACTTGGAAATTTTGTCATTCTTTCTGAAGTTACTTGTGTTCATTTGGGTTTGAACTGAAACTTAAACTTGTTTATCTTTCCTTCCACAGAAATGAGCCACAGGTCGTCAGATTTTGCTAAGATTCTTAACAACACGGAGAATCTTGTACGGGAATTGCTGTGAGTTTAAAATTTGAAGACCAAACTGCATTACTTTTGTTTGATAATATATATAACTGGGTGTCTTATATTATTTTCTATCCTCTGCTGTTTAGAATATTCCATAAATAAAAGTAGCCTTATTAAGATTCTCCCAAATTCACTAAATTACTACATAATCCTTTTTACTTGTTCCCTATTCTGCACTTGTGTGTTTTTATTTTATGTAGTATTTCCAAAGATTTGAAATAGTTATATCCAGGGAAGATTTTTTAGCACTTTAGAAGTTTGGCTGGCCTAAGAGGGATTTAAATGATAAAGAAATGGTCATGTTGTCGACATTAATAACTGCAATATAGTTCACTGGTTCTGGAAGTATGGGCCTCATACTTCCTGTGAGAACCTGGTTGAGGGAAGTATTAAAAAATTCAAATGCTGGGCCCCACCCAGACCTGCTGTCAGAATCTCTGTAGAAACTTCATTTTTATTTTGTTTTTTAATTTTTTTTTTTTTAAAGGGGAAGGGAGAGGGAGAGAGAAATAGAAACACTGATGAGAGAGAACATCAATTGGCTTCCTTCTGCATGCCCCTCACTGGGGATCAGGTCCACAACCTGGGCATGTGCCCTGACCGGGAATCGAACTGGTGACCTCTTGGTGCATGGGTCGACGCTCAGCCACTGAGCCACACCAGCTGGGCTGTAGAAACTTCATTTTAAACAGGCTCTTTGGATTATTTTAAGAGTCCCAACTCCAGGAACTGCTGCTACAGGGAACCCTCCTAGGTCATCTGTACTGTGTTTCTTACCCAGCGGAAACGTTATGGCTAATTAAGGGAGAGGTTTTATCATATCAATGTATGCCTATAAACGAATATGTTAAACTTGGAAACACACTTTTTCTCCTATTCACAAAACTGCTCACGGTCAAGGTAAAAAGTTTAGAAACAACAAACTTGCAAATTAAACTGGAATGATCTAGAACCTAATTAGTCTGGGGTAATCATTGTTAATGTTTTAGGGTTCAACCTTGCTTACTTTCGGTAACAAAATTGGAATTGTACCGACTGTTTCATTCCTTTTTCTTTTTTATCCTCACCCGAGGACATTTTCGCATTTTTTATCTTCAGATAAAAGAGAGGGAGGAAGAGAAAGAGAGAAATGTCGATATGTGAGACACATCGACTGGTTGCCACCCATACAACCGCAACCGAGGTACATGCCCTTAGCGGGAACCGAGCCTGGGTCTCTCTGGTCCGCAGGCTGACACTCTAACTGCTGAGCCAAACCGGCCAGGGCCGTTTCATTCCTTTTTAAACTGCTTGATAAATGCTTCAGGTTGGGCAGGCTTGGTGCCCTTTTTGTGAGGAGCAGTAGGAGCATACTGTAGTGTGGTCATCTGCCTGGCTTCAAACCCCGGGTCTGCCTGCTGGGCCTGCCGTGCTCACAGTGATCCTGTCCTCCACGGACGGCGTATTTGGAACCTTGGCCCTATATGGCATTTGAACCACATGGCTGTGAGCCTCTTCAGATTGTGATCCTCTTCAGAACTTCCAATCTGAAGTTCAATTTATGGGCCCCCTCCCCTTGTCTCCTAACCAAGTTCCTGCCTTGTACCCCTGTACCTAGGCCTCTGTCCAGTGTCCTTCCATCCAGCTCTTGGCCTTGTTAACTGCCCTGCATCTGAATAACATAACCCTGGGACCCTGCCTAGGGCTGCCCAGTCCTGCAGCTGCTGAAACCTCATGGGTAGAGCCTCCTAAGGCCTGTGTGCTCGGCTGTTCTACTGAGCATGGATATAGGCAGGCACGACTCAGAGCCAGGTATTTGCACACCACCTGTTTCCCTAGACCTTCTCATGTTGCCCTGCCCTTTGGTACCTATGCCTCTGCTGGAGCTTTGTCCCCCTCTGTCTGCCTATTCCTAAGCTCCCACCTTGCTCAGAGGCTTGGGTCACAGCCCAGTCCTTCCAGAGCTGGCCTTATCCTACTGCCTGTACTCATTCCAACCATCATCTTCCTTTTCCATGCTGGAGGAAAAAAATGTCACCCTTAATCTTGATGTGTATTGGATGCCTGATTATGTGATTAGGCCTAAAACATGATCAGAGAACCTTCTCCAGGATCCACTAGGTTCATAGCATGGACCAGCACATAAATATTTTTAGGGGTTTTGGTTGCAGAGGACAGAAACTGAATTCTTGGCTTACCCAAAAAAAGGAATGAATTTGCGGGAGCATGATCTCCCTCCCTACCCCCCTTTCCCTCTCTCCTTCTTCCTTGCCCTCTTGCCTGTGCCTGTCCCCCAGTTCCCCCAGGCACTTCACCTTTGCTTTCTCTCTCCTAGGCTCCAAGGGCCCTTTTTTGCCTTTGTAACTTGTTTCCTGAGCCCATGCAGCCCAGCTGGCTCATTCTTTCTACCTTTATGACTTTCTCAGTAAACTTCCACTTATATTTGAAAAAAACAACAAAAAGGAATGTATTACCTCACATGATGGGAAAGTCCAGGTGTGATTTAGGAGCTCAGATGGTGTCAGGAAGGTCTTTTTTTCCATCTCCTGGTCCTACTTTTTTATGTGGTAGCTTCATCAGATGGCCACCATTGGTTGCAGTGTTAGTTTCTTCATCCCCCCTCAATGCAAACAATTTTTCTTTCCCAAAAGTTTGATCAAAGGTCTCAGAACCAGACCCCATTGGGCAGCTTGGGTCATGTGCTCATCCCCTGGAGCTGGGGTTGGTCACCCTTGAACATGTGGACTGAGAATGGCAGTGGGATGACACCCTAAAGGAACAACAGGGTGTTACTTGCTTCTGTCCAAAGAGTGACCCTAGGCTTCCAACACAGGGCCAATAAATAGTTGTCCAAGGACTGAACAGATAAATGACTGGATTGGGGAAGGCGAGGTGGTGGTGGGACTTTGCCATATTTCTTGTGGTATGTCCACCCAATGTAAAGTGCTGGTAGAACACCACTCATTCTCTGTCTTTGACCCTGTGAGCCTCTAGTTACGGTCCCCTGTGCTTCTGCCCAGAGCTGTTCCAGAAAACTACAAGGTGATGTTTATGCAAGGAGGTGGGTCTGGCCAGTTCAGTGCTGTCCCCTTAAACCTGATTGGACTGAAAGCAGGAAGGTGTGCCGACTATGTGGTGACAGGAACTTGGTCAGCTAAAGCCGCAGAAGAAGCCAAGAAGTTTGGGACTGTGAACATTGTCCACCCTAAACTTGGGAGTTATACAAGTAAGTGCTGGGAGCTGATAGTGTAATGTTGACTGGTGAGTGGTCCCTCAGATGCCCAGTTATCCCTGCTCAGGACAATCTGCAATTGTTTTTATATTTTTGTTCCTTTTTGTCAGGTAGTTTGATACCATTTAGATTGGATGGCTGTACTAGTTAAGACTAGTGCTGCTGCAGAAAGTGTTCATGAGCTCACTTAGCTGGAAAGCCCAGGGTCTGGTTTGGCTTTAGGTGTGGCTTGATCAAGGGCCCCAACTCTATTTCCAGGTCCTGGTATCTCGCACTGTCTCCTCCCTGGTGGCTCCCCAGTCAGGAAAGCTGTCCCCTCAGTACTAGAAGATGGCTACAGCCTCTGCTGACCTTATTTTGTCCAAACTTAAAGTGCATGTGCTCAGGTACTCCAGTAACAGTCTCATGTCTCATGTCCCATTCCAAATCAGTCGTGTGTGACAGCACCTGTCACATTCTACCTTTGGGGCTTCAGGTGGAATTTGTTCCACTGGGATCACATGGGCTGATAATGGAGGTGGCTGAAGCCCCAAGAGGAAGCTGTTGGACCACCAATGGACATAGGATGACAAGCAGAAACCCCAAATAGTCACCTTGCCATATCTGAAGATTTAAGTCAGCAGGGTGAGATTGATCATCCATTTAGGATGGAGGTGGTGATTATAAGGCAAGATGGATAGGGTGCTGTCACTGGGAATGCTTTGGAATGACTCTTTCATTGCTAGGGAGGCTGTTACTCCTTTGGACTCCATCTGCATAAGGAAAGGAGTAAAAGTGTGACGTCTCCATCTTGTCTTCTGTGATAGAAATTGTAGACCCAAGCACGTGGACCCTCAGCCCAGAGGCCTCCTATGTGTATTACTGCGCCAATGAGACTGTGCACGGCGTGGAGTTTGACTATATCCCTGACGTCAAGGGAGCAGTGCTGGTCTGCGACATGTCCTCAAACTTCCTATCCAGGCCAGTGGATGTTTCCAAGGTACAGTGGAAAAGAGGGGACCCCAGCGTCTTGGTTTCTGTAAGGGCACTTTAATGTGTACTAGAACAAGGTAAGGTTGGGGTGCCTTGGGCCAGCAGAGACCCTGAAGCCAGGGTGTAGCTCTCGGTGAGAAGGCCAACTGATGCTTGTTTCTCATGGGTTGTCAGATGGGTAAGTCCTGACAATCCCAGCCCTGTGTTCATGAAGTCCTCATGGGGTCACACTCGAATCCTTGGGGGATTTATCTGCCTTTGAGAGTGGCTCTTAAGAAAACTTTTTGGTCAACACATTGGGAGTGGCTTGCTGTCTTCAGGGGAAGATGTGGATTGTCCCAGCTCAGGGTGCCTCTGAAGGAGCCCCACCTTGCCTTGTACCCACTTCAACTCCAAGAGCATCAGGACACACAGACTCTCGATGGCGCACCATGGTGGGCGGTGGGAGTAGTGTACCCAGGTACCTGCAACAAGGGGTATACTAATATCTGTAAAGAAAGGAAAACAAACTGACTAAATAGTAATCTGCCTTTTAAAAAAATTGTACTGAAACATACTTAACATAAATTTGTCATTTTAACCGTTGTAAGTGCAGTTCAGCAGCATTAAGCACATTCACACTCTTGTGCAATCGTCACCACCATCCATTTTCAGAAGTTTTCATCTTCCCAAACTGAAACTCAGTGCCCATTAAACACGAACTCCCTTGTCCTTCCTCCCTCAAGCCCTAGTAACCACCATTTGTACTTTCTGTCTCTATGAATATGACCACTCTAGTTTCCTCATATAAGTAGAATTATGTAATAGTTGTGCTTTTGTGTCTGGCATATTTCACCTAGCAGCATCTCCTTGAGGTTCATTCATGTGGTAGCATATGTCAGAACTTCATTCCTTTTTAAGGCTGCATACTATTCCATTGTATGGATATACCACATTTTGGTTATAGCCAGGTCTGTATTATCAGTACCATGCACTGGCAATTCTAAACAATGTCAACTATAAGATACTCCTGCTGGGCCAGGCTGTCCCCTCTTCCTGACACCACTTGATTTTACTTCAATTTTCATGGGGAGACATGGGAAAGGATTCTATATTTTACATGACAAAATTTCCTGAAGTACCTTTAAAGGTCTCTTTTCTAAAATGTCTTCTCAGGTAGCTTATCTCATTATTTATCAGCAGTCTTCTGATTGTTCCTTTATCCACATATAAATGGATTAAATTCATTTTTTTGGTGTGTGTGGTTTTTTTTTTGTGTTGCCAAAGACAGTTAGCCTCCCTATTTTAATTTTAGTTTAAATTACTTTTCTGTTGACTTTAGAGGAGGGGGAAGGGAGAGGAAGGAGAGAGAGAAACATCGGTTGGCTGCCTCATGCACGATAAGCCTGCGACCCAGGCACGTGCCCTGACTGGGAACCTAAATGGTGACCTTTTGGTGTATGAGATGACACTTTTCCAACTGAGCCACACCAGCCAGGGCATAGCCTCCCTATTTAAAAACTAGTGTAGGCATAGATGGAAAGTATGCAGAGTGAATATGAGTAAGTATAAGATCTTTACAGAGGTGGGCTTGGGTTAAGCCCCTTACTGGGCAGAATGACCAGGCAGACTCATAATCTGCCATCCTCTGAACTCGCAAGTGTCTCAGATGGAGATTCCTTTAGAGAAGAGAATATATTCTGAATATGAATACAACAGTCATTTCCTCAAAAAAATCGTGCTTTGGAAAGAGGTTGGGAAGTTTAAATTTAAGAAAAATGACCAGGTACACCTACAATGTCATGTGTTTCTCGTTTTCAGTTTGGGGTGATTTTTGCTGGTGCGCAGAAGAATGTTGGCTCTGCAGGGGTCACGGTGGTGATCGTCCGCGATGACCTGCTAGGGTTCGCTCTCAGAGAGTGCCCCTCGGTCCTGGAGTACAAAGTGCAGGCTGGAAACAATTCCTTGTACAACACACCTCCGTGCTTCAGGTAACTCTTGGGCTGCTTGTGGACCGATTGAGGGGGTCTCTTTCCCATTAAAGTAGAGATGACTCTAGAGCAGCAGTTCTCAACCTGGGGGTCGCCACCCCTTTGGAGGTCGAACGACGCCTTCACAGGGGTTGCCTAAGACCATCAGAAAACACATATTTCCGAGGTCTTTGGAACCCGAGACACCGCTCTATCCCTCTCCAGGAGGGTCCGCCCACATACAATATGAGGAACTATATTAAAGGGTCCTGGCATTAGGAGGGTTGAGAACCACTGCTCTAGAGTTTGCATGAGACCTGATAGCCTAGAGATGCTATCAGGAGTTTCTGTCTGCTCACGCTCGTTACCCTCTGTGCCCTGTTTGGTCAGTCTTCCTTCTGGCCCTTTTTTGGCGGGGGAGTGTGTCTGTTTGATTTTGGTAGCTTTGTAGTTCACAATAACCCCAGAGCTCTCCGCACGTGAAGTGCTTATGTGCTGCATCTCCAACAGCCAGTGTAAATCGGGAGAAGGACCTTCAAATGCTGGGCTTCCCCCACTTTATTTTCTTTTCCTGCTGGGCCTGCACAGAGGAGGCTCGATGCTTGGCAGCAAACACACTGGCTTGGAACACACACTTTCCTGGTTTTTCACCCATCTGCCAGGGTCCTGGGCACTGCACTGCAGCCTCTCAGGCCTCCCACAATCTTAACTCCCAGCTTCAGGTGGTTTGGGGAAACCTTTGCGGCACCTGGGATTTAACAGTTACCTGAGAGATCTTGCTACTAACCAGCTGTGTGACCTTGGGCAAGTCACTTAACCTATCTGTGCAGTAGATCCCTGCAGAAGTAATAATAGTGCCCTCCTCACAGGGTTGCTGTGAGGACTAAAGGAGTTGATTTGTAGGTAGTGAATGCACTTAGTGTGTCCTAGATGTCAGCCACTACACTGTTGTTAGTTCCCAGAGCTTTAGCAGGGGAGGGGAGAGCCCGAGTTGACGAGTTTGTTTCCAAGGCAGCTATGATGTAAAATAGTAATACATGATGTGTAGGACTCCAGTCTCCCAAGCAGCTGAGGAGGCAGGTAGTGATATTATTCTCACTGCCAAGCGAGGAAGCGGAGGCCCTACTTGTAGGGAGCGCGTAGCTGGGATTGGGCGCGGGCAGCCTGGCTCCGGGCCTGGGTCGCACTCCCTGGGCCTCTGCTCTTCGCAAGCACAGTTGTCAGTGCGGACTTGTTTGTGCTGGAAGGGTCGCCTCTTTGGGAGAGGGCTGGCGGAGTCCAGCTGTCCCGCTCCTAGATTTTTCCGTGAGGGGTGGAAGTCCCTTGAAAAAGGGTGTAAAACACGGGCAGGGGCCAGTGTAGCAGCCAGTCTGTCGTGGTCGGGACTTCATTACAGGTCTCCCCACTAGGTGCTGCCTTAGAAAATTTCTTCCATATAATCTGCTCGAAGAAAGAAAGGAGTTGTTTGCAAAGTTTGAATCCTGATGGCATCTTGGCTACTTTCCCACACGGCTTACATGACTCGGAGCAGGGCCTCGGGTTGTGTCCCCTGCTTGCTCAGGGAAGGGGGTTCCGGTGCTAGCTCTCCTGGGTGCCTGTCAACCCCCCACTCTGTGGCACCCTGGTTGAAAGTGTTTCTAAAATATCAGGGGTGCAGAGGTGGTGGTGGGGATGCTGCACCCCGGGGCTCTAGGCAGTGGAGAAACAGTGCTCACTGGCCATCTGCAAGCGAGAGCGGGACGTGCTGGCTGGTGAAGGACCAGCTGGGCACCCTCAAGGGCAGCGCTCCTCGAGAAGGGGCTTAGGTGCCAGGTGGCTCTTACCTGTTAGAAGGTGGGGCCAGCCGGTCCTGGCTCTCAGTCAGGTGAGTCTTTAGGGGAAATCAGAGGCTGCGCTGGCTTTGGGAAGGTGGAAGAAGACGGAGGAAATGTGGCCTGAAGGCGGGCAAGTTATGATTAGAACACAGCCTGGAGGAGCAGGGGGAGCTGTCGCTCGCCTGGCACCTTCTCCAAGAGTTACCCCGAAACAAAATTTAAAAAATGTAAGGAATATGTCAATCCACTGTGTGTTAACATTAGGAGGGAAAATCATCAGGAACAGTGAGAGCGGAGGCCAGTCTGTCCCATGGGAGATGCAAGTGTCTGAAGTCAGACCTGGAGGCAGAGGAAGTCCTAAAGCAGGACCCATTTCATAGGTCACTCTCCAGCCTTGGCCCCAGTCCTCGGCCAGTTGGCATGCTGGTCACCTGTGGGTGGGGTGGGGAGGACGGAAGGGTGGTGGGCAGGAACTTCCTCCCCAGAACTTCCCTGCCTGAGGAGTGTGCTAAGCCAGAGACAAGGGCAGAAAAGGGGATAAGTTTTTCCCCAGACAGATCAGAAGAAGGATAATTGGCCATCTCTGGGCAGGATAGTTAATATTTGATTAGAATCATGTAAATGTAGAAGATGAAAGGGACTGGGTTAAATGTATTCGGCCCGAAGGCAACTCCTGGAAGTTGCTTTGCCTTCTTTTACCCCAAAAGAGAACAAAGTAAAATTCTGTATTACCCTGAATCTCTAACTGGGAAAATGTAGAGTTCATTGCAGCGCTTAGACATCCTGTATTAGAAAACGGTCGCTTACCCGAGGAGCACAAACTCCATAGACAGCGACATAAGAGTTGTGCAAAATACCCTCCCTAGTCTTTGAATGTAAGCTGATAAGGCACGCAGAACACTCCAGAACTTTCTATCACATAGAAGTCCTTGAAAAGATCTGAGTTTGAAAATAAGCCTTTTTTTTTCCTTCTTTTAAAATCAGAGCCAAATGACCACAGGCCCAGGGAAGTTTGTTTGAATGGTGCAGGATAACTGGCCTTCAAGTACTTGCTGTAGCCCTGCGCAATGAATTGGGGTGGAATAAAGGGCCCTTGATCATTCTTTTAGTAGAACACATTAAGCCCACTTAGCGGATAAGCAAAAAGATGCCCGTAGTTTTTTTCTTACCCTGTAAAAGTTTTTACTTACTATGACTAACTGAACCCCTAAGTAAAAATTCATTTTAGTTGTAGTATGATGTATAGTAACTAACAAACTATCCCCACTAATTCAGTCCGCCTTTCTTACCAGAATGGGCTTTGCCTTGTCCATTGTCAACTCCAGGAGCTCACCTGCAGAGTTTGAATCTTTAGAACAACCAGGAAGAGTTTTCTGGGGACTTTCTGGTGTGCTTTTCTGAGGCCTAGTGCAGAGAGTGTTTGGTATTGCTTTTAAAACATTGTAAGAGTACGCGTGCTCCTAGCAACGGCTTCTGAAGTGCTCAGAGCCTGCTGGGGTAACTGCTTGCTGTGTATCCTAACAGACCGTTAACTGGGCACATGCACATATACAGAGCCGTGTACTTAATTACACAGATGGAACTTTCCCATATACACTTATTTTTCTTTGACCATTCCAGTATCTTTTTTTAAAATTATTTTTTTATTTTTATTTTTTTAAATCTTTATTGGTGAATGTATTACAGATATTCCTCATTTTTTCCCCCATTGATCCCCCCTCCCGCGCCCCTCCCACCTTTTCCCACACTACACTATTTTCTATGCCCATTGGTTACGCATATAAGTTCTTTGGTTTATTTCTTCCACCCCCCAACCCCTTTCCCTTTGAGGTTTGTCAGTCTAGCAATGAATTTGTACTTCTTAATCCCTTCACCTTTTTCTCCCATTCCCCCAACCCCCCTCCCATCTGGCAACCAACAAAATGTTCTCTGTATCTATGAGAATGTTTCTATTCTGCCTGTTCATTTTTTTTGTAGATTCCATTGTCGATAGATATGTATTTGTTGCCATTTTGTTTGTTCATATATTTTATCGTTTTCTTCAAAAAGACCCTTCATCATTTTATATAATAACGGTTTGGTGGTGATGAACTCCTTTAACTTTTTCTTGTCTGGGAAACTCTTTATATGGCCATCGATTGTAAATGACAGCTTTGCAGGATAGAGTCATCTTGGTTGTAGGTTCTTGGTTTTCATCACTCTGAATATTTCTTGCCACTCCCTTCTGGCCTGCAAAGTTTCTTTTGAGAAATCAGCTGACAGCCTTATGGGAACTCCCTTGTAGGTAACTAACTGCTTTTCTCTTGCTGCTTTTAAGATTCTCTCTTTGTCTTGAGCCTTTTGCATTTTGATGATGATGTGTCTTGGTGTGGGCCTCTTGGGGTTCATCTTGTCTGGGACTCTCTGTGCTTCCCGGACTTGTATGTCTGTTTCCTTCACTAAGTTAGGAAGGTTTTCTGCCATTATTGTTTCAAACAGGTTTTCGATTTCTTGTTCTCTCTCTTCTCAAGATGCGAATGTTGGCACGCTTGAAGTTGTCCCAGAGGCTCCTTTCACTATTCTCATTGTTTTGGAATTTTTTTTCTTTTTGCTGTTCTGATTGGGCGTTTTTTGTTTCCTTATATTCCAAATCGATGGTTTGCTTCTTGGATTTACGTACTCTACTATTGAATCTGTATAAATTATTCTTTATTTCAGTTAGTGCCTCCTTCATTTCTGACTGTGCATCCATCATTTCTGACTGGTTCTTTTTTATGCTCATGAGGTCCTCACTAAATTCATTGAGCATCCTTATAAGCAGTATTTTGAACTCAGCATCTGTTAGGTGGCTTATCTCCATTTCGCTTAGTTCTTTTCTTGGGGTTTTGTTCTGTTCTTTCATTTGGTACCTGTTTGTCTCCTCATTTTGGCTGCCTCTCTGTGTTTGTTTCTGTGTATTACTTAACGAGCAGTATGGGGCTAGCTGAGACCAGATGCTGCTTGTTTGAAAGAATTTAGGAAAACCTGAAGCAGGATCCAAGGGAGGCCAATCCTATGGTTAAGCAACTGGCAACAGCTTGGGTGGGCCTGAAAGTTGGGTGGGGTGGGGCGGGGTGGGGCGGGGCCTCAGGGAGTCAACAGGGCGGGGCTACCAGTGTGAGCCAGGTTGCTGGAGTCCCAGGTATGGAGACTGTCTGCTGCTCCCGGGAAGGGCTCACCAAAGGAACAAAGGCCTCTGACAGCACGTTTGTCCCAGAGAAAGCCCCCTCTCCAGCCCTAGCTCCAGTGCCAAACAGCTCAGTTCTTCCCTGTATGTCTCTGGTGCCCCTGGAGCTGCCTCCCCTCCAAGCTTAGAGGGAGAGAGTCTGATAAGTCCGTGCGTGGGCCCTTTAAGGAGCTGCCTGGGGCTCCAGCCGCTTCAGCTTCCCTGAGCCTCAGTTCCCGCTGGTTTTTCCAGCCAAAAGTTATGGGGATTCTCTTCCTGGCACTGGAACCCTGAGCGGGGCACCTGGTGTGTGACGGGGACCCCTCAGTCCTCAGGAAGGACCTTCCCAGCCGCGGGAGCCTCCTGATTTTTATCCTCCACACGTGGGTGTGGGACCAGCCTGTCCGCTCCGCCCCTCCTACCAGTCTGGATGTGGCTCCTGCTTTAATTCCGTAGTTGTAGGACTTCCATTCAGCTTGATTTCAGGCGGTTTTGAATGATGGTTGTTGTGTGGTTTAGTTGTAACTTTGATGTGGTTGTGGGAGGATGCGATACCGCGTTTACCTACCCGCCATCTTGACCGGAAGTGACCATTCCAGCCGCGGCCCCCACCTTAAATACCATCTTTAGCTAATAACAAAAAGAAAAAAAAGAAAGATGGGCTCGGCCGGTGTGGCTTGCCACCGAGAGGTCGCCAGTTCGATTGCAGTCAGGGCACATGCCCAGGTTGTGAGCAAAATCCCCAGTACGGGGGTGGCGTGGGCATGCGGGAGGCGGCCAGTTGGTGTTCTCTCTTATTGATGTCCTCTCATCAATGTTTCTATCTTTCCCTCTCCCTTCTTTCTCTCTAAAAAAATCAATAAAGAAAAAAAAATGAGAGAGTGAATAGTAAAAGCGGTACAGAGAAGTATGGGCAGAGGAATCTGGACTTCAGGAAGTGAAGGATTAACTGGGTGTGGCCGGGGCAAGAGGGTCTGAGGTTGCGGTGGGGCCAGAAATGTCGGGCAGGTGGTGGTGAGAAGTGCATCCCAAGTGTTGTGAAGTTTGAGGACTTGGGCTGAACAGGCAGAGACTGATGCGACCTCCGGTGAGGGTTCTAATGAGACCTCTTTTCTGAAGGGCTTTCTGGGGCCTGGACCTGGGTTGATCTTGTCCCTGGTCTACACATGGCCTCCTTTCATCTTGTCTGTATCCAAAGACATTATAAAGTGTTTTGTTACAACTTAACGGTTTGCTTGAATGTCTTCCCACTTTTGCAAAGCTGAACTAACTGGGTTCTTTGTTTTTATCTCCATTTCAGCATCTATGTCATGGGCCTGGTCCTGGAGTGGATTAAGAACAACGGCGGCGCAGCAGCTATGGCGAAGCTCAGCTCCATCAAATCTCAGATGATTTATGATATCATCGATAACTCTCAAGGGTTCTACGTGTAAGTTGGTGAACTTGATCTCGCGCTTTACCTCTGGTGAATTTATTCATTTTTTCTTTATTATTTTTATTTTTTTTGTGGTACGTGCCCCTAGTGGGAACCGAACCTAGGACTCTCTGGTCCGCAGGCCAACGCTCAACCACTGAGCCAAACTGGCCAGGGCGCCTCTGGTGAATTAAATATGTCTATACACCAGAGACTTTTGGCAAATGGGTGCATTCACCTTTCCCCGGGACGTTGAACTGCTGGTGAGCTGGGTGGTTCTCCATACCCACCCCAGGAATCTTGGGCCTTGTGACCTGTCTCCCAGTGGGTGGTGACAGTTTTACACTAAAGACATTGCTCTGGGAGAGTCTCATTTCACCCCCCAGGGTGACCCCATTTTCCCACCGCCTTCCTCTGTGTGCCCCCTGGGGGAAAACACATAGAAGCTGGAAGCTCTTAGCTTGGTGTAGGAGTTCATAGCCAAGGGCAAAATGGTAAGGTGTGATCTTGGAGTTGGAAGCTATTGGCCTTGGCTGTACTTGAAGGCAGGGCTTGTAGATGAGCTTGAGCCTTGGGAGAGAGAATAATTAGGCACCAAAGAGGGCAGAAGTGTTTTTAGAAATCTTTAGGAAGGCAGGAATGGCCCCCACAGAGGCACCAAGGGAAGAAAGTACAGTGTGCTTGGGGAGCAGAGAGTGGGCTACCTGGAAGGGAGGGTTAGTGCTGGGACTGGAAAGAAAGTCTGGGAAGGTCTGAGGACATGTTTAATCTACTTGTTCATTTATTCATTCATTTATTTGTCCACCCACCCACGCATCCGTCTACTCACCATCTATCCATCCACCCTCTTGAGCACTGACTCCGGGCGAGCCTTGTTCTGGGCTCTGGGGGGACACTCAGAAGAGTGTCGTCTTTCCTGACTCCCCAAGCATGCTCAGAGCCTGAATGTGAGTGAAAGAACTTGGTGGCCATTGTGGAGGGGAGACCAAGTTTTCTATTAGCCTTTGGCTCTATATATTTCTCAGGATATGCGTAGGCACAAAATGGGAGGTGATACCTCCATAAAAAACTCCAGGGAATTAGAAAAAGATACACAAGCCCTGGCCAGTTTGGCCCAGCAGTTAGAGCGTCGGCCTGCGGTCCACAGAAACCTGGGTTTGGTTCCCGCTAAGGGCACGTACCTTGGTTGCAGTTTGTCCCCAGCCCTGGTTGGGGTCGTACAGGTGGCAACCACTTCTTGTGTCCCTTTCACATCAATGTTTCTCTCTCTCTCCCCCCCCCCCACTCTGTCTGAACAAAATAAAAAAAGGAAAAAATGTCCTTGGGTGAGGATAAAAAGAAAAGAGAAACAGATACACAAAAAGTATACGAGGAACACTGGGATCCCCTGGATTCTTTTTTCCAAGGTCCTTCAACTCCAGGCCGCCAACCTGCGCTTATCCCAGAGGCAGCCTGCCGAAGCCAGCGGGTCAGGCGCCCTCTTGCGGGGATTCTGATCACCTTCCCATTCAAAACCCTTCACTCACTCACAGGCAGCCTTGACCGAGCACTTGCGTTCTCTTCAGAGCAAACCTCTTTCTGGGAACGTCTGTCTACCCTCTGGGCCACCTGCCCAGAAAATGTCCTGGCTCATGACATTCCTGTGGGGCCCTGTCACCCGAGTCAGAGCAGGCTTTCTTACCCCTGTCCTTAGTGTGCGCAGCTGGATGCTCACTAGTGTTTCTGTGCTCACTGGGTTTTCAGGAAATTCTTCACTTTTCTTTCGAACTGTGGAAATATGGCCCCAAAGGGGAGGTGAGCCATTTTGAAGGGGAATACCAAGTATAACCTAGTATTAGATTTTGTCATTAATCACCACCTTGGCTTCTCATTTTTGTCCCCTATCCTGTGCCCCTGACTGGTAAGGCAGCCTCTTAACTGAACATAGTTCTGGGCGGTTCTCGGGGGTTTACGCCAGCTCTGCTGTGACTGTGGCAGGGAACTCTGAGTCTAGTTAAGAAACTGCAGCCCTGGCTTGTTTTGCCCAGCGGTTAGAGCATTGGCCCGTGGACCAAAGAGTCACAGGTTCGATTCCGGTCAAGGACACATACCTCCGTTGTGGTTCGGTCCCCGGCCTGGTCGGATTGTGCAGGAGGCGACCAATCGATGTCTCTCTCTCTCTCCCTCCCTCCCACTCTATCTGAAGATAAATGGAAGAATATCCTCAGGTGAGGATTTAAAAGAAAAAAGATAACTGTAGAAGTCCCTACATTCATCTCATCGGTGAACCACCCACGGGGTGCTGGCTGAGCCCACGTGAGCGTATAGTATCTTGAGCATGTCAACTTGGACAAACGACCTTCCTGTTCTAAACTCATCTGTGTGACGCATGAATAAGGAGTTTTGACATAGGTGTTACAACATGGGCTCTTGGTTAATTGTGTAAAGCACTAGAGACAGTGCTTGGACCATTCCTTAGAGTTAGCTCTTAATATTATTACTTGTGGCTATTATGGAAAGCACTTAGAATATTCCTGACATGGTGCTTAATATATATTAGATACTAATTTTAATATTGTAAGGATGTCCAAGTGATAGAGTTCATATCCCTATCTGAGGACACCTTTCTGACCACCATCATGTGGGGCCTGGCCTTAGGAAGAAAGAGGGGGAAGGAAAAAAAAATCCAGGTTTCCATTTTCTCTCATCCCAAAGCTAACTGCTTCTCACTGCTCCATGCAGGCCCTGCGCCAGCCAGGAAGCCAGCACTCCGGTCCCCCGGAGAACCTGCCGGGCCCCTCGCCCACGCAGATGCAGGTTCTCTGCCAGGCCCCGCCTCCTCCACGTCCCCTCCTCTGAGACCTCCTTGCTCGGCCCTGCGTCCACAGCCCTCTGCTGCTGCAGCACTTCTCACGTGGGATTTGAATTCCCTGCACTGCCAAGTCGCTGGGCTGGGAGCAGTTAATTCCCCTTAATCTCTCTTCCCTCTCCGCAGCCTCATACCAGGGAGCAGTGTAAAAACAGTTGTTCCGTGCCACTTTCATCCGTAATTCCTAGCTTTTAGGACATCATTATTGCCTGATACCTACTTTCGCGATAGGGATGGGTAAATGGGAGGAGGTGGCGAACCCCACAGATTCTTCATTTTTTCCCCTTTTAGTTTAGTTTTGCTTTTTGTTTTTGTTTTTTTCCTTAAATTGGCTGTGCTTTTTGCTGCTCCACCTTTCCTTTTTTATTTTTTATTAAAAAATATATATATATTTATTGATTTTAGAGAGGAAGGGAGAGAGAGAGAGAGAGATAGAAACATCAATGAGAGAGAACATCAATTGGCCGCCTGCTACATGCCCCCCACTGGGGATTGTCCCACAACCTGGGCATGTGCCCTGATCGGGAATCGAACTGGCAACCTCTCGGTGCATGGGTCGACATTCAACCACTGAGCCACCCTGGCTGGGCCACCACCTTTCTAATTGGAACCTCCTGTTGGGAGCCTGAGGCAGCAGAATATCAAAAGAGAGGGTATCTACAGAATTTTTAATGTAACTGTCAGTCATGACACCACTTCGTGAGAAAGGGGGACCCGGAATTAAGATTCAGAGCCAATGACAGATATTTGGTTTCCCTCGAGTCTCCTCTGCATGTATCTGTGCACTTGACTCCCATGAACTTCAACAGGAATGTGGATGTGCCCTCCCGAGAGCCTACCCTGTAATGGGGGCTTCCTCATTGCTTTTATGTGCTGTTTAATTCCAATGAATCCCACTCTGGGGAAGTGAAAGACTAAGACAGGATGTGCTTGAGACAATGGAGAAAGAGGGTTACATATTTTACTTTTATTCCAAAGGGACATGTCAGATCCTCTTTCATTTGTATCTTTGGGTTGTCAATGGAAAATAATTTTGGCTGCTTATTTTCCAAATCAGAAACTGAAGTCAAATCTAAGATTAATAATTCACTCACCAGTTTTAACAAGTCTGTATAAACCCTGTGCAAGGTGCTGGGAAAGATAGATTGATAGAATTTAACAGATGCTTATATCACATTTACCCTGTCCCAGACACTGTTCTACATTGTATCCGTTATCTATTTTTGCATCACAAAACACCCCAAGACAGGGACTTAAAACAAAACGACAACCATGTTCTTTGCTCGCGATTCCTTGGCTCAGCAGGTGGGGCCGGGCCAGCTGGGAAGCTCTGCTGCTCTCACTGGGGACGCTTGTTCAGCCAAAGTCATCTGATGACTCACCTGGAGCAGCAGTTGGAATGGCCTCAGTCACATGTCTGGGAGCAGGTGCTGGCTGTTGGCTGGGCCTCTTGTTTCCAACAGGCTTCCTTAGTGGAAGCATTTTAAGAGGAGGACAGGTGTAGAAGCTGTGTGCCCTTGAGGCCTGGAAGGTGCACGCCATCACTCCTGTTGCAGCCTCTTGGTCAAAGCGTCACAAGGCCCAGATTTGAAAGGTGTGGAGAACTGACCCCACCTCTTGCTGGGAGGGCTACAGAGAATGTGTAGCCATTTAAAAATATACCACAAAAACTTTCTGTAAATATCCTTAGCTAGTGTGGCTCAGTTGGTTTGGAATGGTTCCATGCACCAAGAGGTCACGGGTTCAATTTCCAGTCAGGGCACATGCCTGGTTTTGGGGCTGGATCCCTGAGGGGATGTGCAGGAGGCAGCCAGCCGATTGGTGTTTCACTCTCAGATCAATATTTCTCTTTCTCTCCCTCTCCCTCTCTCTTAAAACATTTTTTTTCTTAAAAAAATTTTTTTAAAATACTTTTTTATAAATATATTTAATCAACCTTATGAGGTAGATTCCATTATCTTTTCCACTATTCGGTAGATGAGGAAAGTGAGATACAACAGAGAGATTAGTAACTCGCTCAAGGTCACACAGCTTGAGATATTACAGTGTGACAAGTGCGTTGAAAACTTCATTATATATTTTGAACCACAATGAGGACCAACAATTTTTTCTCTGCAGCCTTGTAGAGAAAACATCACTCACATTGCCATGTGGCTGCTGTGTGTCAGGAGCATCATACATGTCGTACCACTGAACTGTCACAGCTAGTGTGAACGGAGGTGTTATTCCCAGTGTTCAGATGAGGAGATGGAGGCTCATGGGAATTCGGTTCAAGTCGTAGACGAGAAGGCTAACTGCACTGCTCCTGCTGCAAGAGGGGCCTCCCTACCTAGACAAATGTCCTGGGGCACAGCTCTTCCTTCAGTTTCCTGTTTGCATCTAGAAAATGTGCAAACATTTGTTTCTGTTCCTTCGTTAATGGCAGTTTCACATTTCAGAAAAGTTGCTGGAGTAATAAACATGTTTTTCAGATGCCCAGTGGAGCCCCAGAGCAGAAGCAAGATGAATATTCCATTCCGCATTGGCAGCGCCAAAGGAGACGATGCCTTAGAGAAAAGATTTCTCGATAAAGCCCTTGAGCTCAATATGATCTCCTTGAAAGGGCATAGGTGAGTACCCGTCCAGTCCAGAAGCCCGTCGGAGACGGTTTAGTGTTTCAAATGCAGAAGGAAAGACTTCCTGGAGGCTGTGCAGCTTGGAGCAGCGGCTATTGTAACTTGTTGGGAAAACCAGTTGTCACAGGGGAATCCTTCCTCTTGCTGCTTCTAGAGCTCTTAGCCCGATTCCCTTGTTGAGAGCCTGTGGTGGAGCCACATATTCCGTGGACTTTTGTTAAAATTACTCTTGAAAATCTCTTAAGTGGATCTTACAGCACAGGGCTTGCCAGTCCATCTCTGATGAGGCTGGCACAACCCCGTGCGGTGTGAGAGCAGATCACTGGTGCTCCAGCTGAGCATCAGGTGGAGCCGTCAGTCCCACACGCGCTGGGAAAACACATGTCCTCGCCACACGAGAGGCAGGAAGCCCGCCCTGCAGCGTTTGCCGGCCCCCCGCTTCCTGTTGAGTTAATCTAGGTCATATGTGAGGTTGGGGGACCTTCGCTGCATCAGGAAGAATTTTCTAATGATTAGTCTGAAGTTCCCGGCCTCCTGTGGGGATGACTGGGAAGAGGGTTCATCTTAATGCCAACTTAGATGCTTTTGTTAATGGCTGCGTCTTTGTCATTCTAGGTCTGTGGGAGGCATCCGGGCCTCTCTGTACAATGCTGTCACGATCGAGGATGTTCAAGAGCTGGCAGCCTTCATGAAGAAATTTTTGGAGATGCATCAGCTGTGAACACATCCTAACCAACATACACATATATACTGTACCCTTGGACAATGTCCAAAATTTAAAGTAACTTAACGGTTTCAAAAACTTAACCATAGTATTTTTCTCAAAGGAACATGCTTATTATAGATTCTTTTTTTTTTTTCCTTCAAAGTACGGCAAAATATCCACAGTTCTGCAAAGCTGGTGGGACTTAACAGACACCTTAATTTAGACTCGAACTGGAAGTGTTTTAAAAAATCTCCCTTTAGCTTTCTAAAGGTTCTCCCTTATGTTGTCTTTGCTGCTACTTTTTCTAGCTAGATCTCAGTATTCAGACTTGCCTGTGGACTTACACAAAGTGCAGTTGATGTTTCTGGAGACACACAGACTCGTAGCGTTGAGGGTGGGTAGGGTCTGTGGGGTCTGCTAGGTGCTGAATCTTGGTCCTTTTCAAAATGACAGCAGTGGGGGCTCCTTGGGTTCCACAGCTGTTAATTCAGGTCAACCTTGATCCTGTGAGTATTTAGGGTTCTGGGCTAAAGAGCCATTTGGAGATCTTTATACTGTTATTCTCATAGAGATAAACGTGACATACCATATGTTTATATAGCAAGGCCTGTTTTTATTACCAAATAGTTTATATCTCTACATTTATATTTCTAATAATGCGGTTTTCAGTGATATGTGTAGAGACTTTGGGAATTTGTAGAGTCCTTGGCCTTCTGCGTGCTAACATAGTTCCAACAGTTTTGTCTCCCCTTCCCCCCTCCCTTTGGAGGCTGCTTCCCAAGATTTTGAAACTCTCCAATTCACTTTTATTTTCCTTTCGGTAAATGGAAGAGAAGGTTGGTTGGTTGGCTGTTTATTTTTCAGTTATGCCGTGAAACTAAAGAGTCTCTGATAAACTCCCTTATTGTTTGTTCACTTGACTGTGTCTGTAATCGTGTTTGACCAGAGGGACGCTGTGAGTGCTGGAAGCTCCTTGCCGGGGTCTTTGCCCTGTTGTTTTTCCTTCGTCAGTGTTTTGTGTTGAATACGGGAAGGACATTAAAGTCCTGAAACACCTAAACCTTTGTCAGTGAATTTCTTTACCTGCTTTTTAGACAGGTTATTCTTTTTTAAACTTTATGGTGGGGAAACTTGAGTCTAAAAATAGCATCTGATAAGGGTATTTCATTTAGGTCAACCACAGGTGTCAGACTTGAGTTCACGGTACATCTGTGTGTGTATAAACGATTTGGCTCACTGGGCTAGCTTTTCATCGGCTTTTGGACGGACATTATCAGCAAAACCACCTTCCCACACAGCTCATGGTGTAAAGTTCCATGAACTCTGTTCTGTTCAGGACAGAAACATGCCAATTGGATGGTTTTGAGCTAGCTATCTGTGCTTCGTTGGACAGTGTAATGAGGACTGGACTGATCTCTCATCCTGAATTATTTGGGTTCCCCTGATCAGGGCTAAGCCTCCCAGTCTTGCTTTTCTCATCTACAAAAGCAGGATTGAAATAATTCCCCCACTTATCTCAGGGATGTTTAAATTTACAAAAACTCAATACAGGATGTGAATAATAACCAGAATAAATGTTTAAATAGCAAAAGCCAGCCAGTCCAACTAAGTGTTCACACATAACAGAGTCAACTTCTTCCTCATCCTTTCCTGTGACTGTTGCAAGTGCTTGTGGTTTGTACCAGCTCCAAGTTCCTAGAGTCTCCACTTATTTCCATTCCCACTGCCGTGGCCAGCTCTGATGTTGGCTCTCAGCAGACTATTTCAGGAGCCAGTTGGACTACTAATTTCCCCTGTGCTCCTTGGTACGAGTTCCAGGCTTAGCCCAGCAACCGCAGCTTTGTAGCATCTGGTCTCTTACATTTAGTGGTTAAAATGTGGCATGCATTTGCACCTGTGAGACGTTAACCTAGACGTCCTGCTCCCACTCAGGTTCAACCTTCCTGCAAGAAGCCTGCCAACCTCCTGACCTTGTTTGTGTCTCCTCCCTCAGAATGGTGCTCTTCTGTTCTTACGTGGCTGACCCACTTATCCCATCACAGCACCTTCGTGATTTCTTTGGTGGATGGGGCTGTCTGCTCCTCTGCCTTCTCCCCTAGAGCCGCGTGGTTCTCTACCTTCCTCTGGCAGCCTGCCTTGCCCTGAGGAGCAGCTCCACAATGGTCTGTCTAATGAATGAAAAGTCGTACACCTGCCCTGTTGGTCACCCTGAATTTCACAAACAGCCTGAAGTAAAAGGCAGAGTTATAATCTCACAGAAATGAATTTTTCTGGAGTAAAAGGCAGAGTTGTAATCTCGCATCTATGGATTTTTTTAATTTTCAAAAGCTTAGTATACAATTTAATTTTCCACTACGATGATCAGATATGACTGGTTGAATGAGTAAATCTCAAATCTTGGAGGGTTCCCAGACTCATAAATCTGTGAAAACTTCTGGAAAATGGACAGCAGCTGCATTCATCCAAGACAGGATAGTCCCTGTTATCTGGACACAGATTGCTAGAAGATGCTCATCGAGTGCAAACCTCGACCTTTGTATGTCTCAAGTGAAGGAACTGATGCCAGCCAGTCTGCTGGCAAGGGAGCCAGAACTAGCTGGTCTACTAAAGAGTACAAGCTGGGTGGACAAGTGCCTTGGGGAGTCTGGAAGGGTGGTGGCCTTGTGAACCTTTCAGATCCTCCAATTTGTACTTCTAACCCCAAAGCAGATTTGAAGTTTGATTTTCTTCTCAAAGTTCCTGACAGCTCATAATCATAAAATGCCATCCAAGTGAGAAAAACAAAATTGTTTCCATGGGTCTTACGTGTATTCCCATATACTGCTTTGTCTCTAACAGGTTCTGTTCTTTGTCTGCACAAGAAAAAATTGTGTGCTGTTCCTGAGTCTTCATTCCCCTGCTTGTCTATCTCAGTCTCTCATGCCATCTTCTCACGACTTAGTGGATGCTGGAAGGTTTGCCAAGCCCTTAGGTGAACTATGCGATATAACAAACAATCATTTCTTCCTCTAGAGCTGAAGGAGCCACTAAGACCCATTGCTAAGATGTCCAGTTCTGCCCAAGGCATTAACAGGTCTGCCTTGTATCACTCCACGATTCATGTTTGTTGTATCATGTTCTTTGGAAGGAAAATAAATGAATTTTTCTCACATTTGATCGGAGTGAGCATAATTGAAAAGTGAAATGCAACTGGGTCTCTGCAAAGAAATCAGGCACTTTAATTGGAAAGAAGATTCCTTGCCTCTATCAGTAATTGGGCTCTTGGTAATTTAAAATCAGAATCCATGACAATTTGTGATAAATTGGCTCCTTTTGGGTTAAAGAAGGTAATTACCTCTGGACTAATCCAGAGTGGATGGGAAAGCTTGATCAAAGAGGGCGAGAGAAGCTAGTGAGAGCATAGTTATTGCATTTTTAAGATGCTAAAGTCAAATAGTTCACTTGATGTGACAAAAACAAGACCTCGTGGTATTTGAAGTCCCAAAGATGTAAATTGGGTTTTCTAAGAAAATAGGGAACTTGGCATATAAGAAAATGATTATGTACACCAAAGTTCTGTAGTTAAGTTATAGGAATTAGCCTTGTTTACTAGTGCATGAGAATATTGACAACTTTGGGCTTCCCTTAAGGGGAAGTACGGATTTTGTACTTTGAGTGTTAAACATTAAGTAATAGGCACTAAGTCTAAGAAAGTCCTATGGTCTCTGGTATCTTTGTTTCTATAACTTTCTCAAGACTACCTGAGGAATAGGATGGATTTTAGGTTGAAGCACTGGGTTATAAACTTATTTTTAATTGTGTTTATTTTGTATGTCTATATAGGTATAACTAGACACAGTTGCAAACAGAAAAGTTGCAAGTTTTCTATCGAACTCATGCTTTCTCTAGATTCATCAACTATTAACATTTAGCTTCATTTGCTTTGGCATTCACCCTCTTTCCATATGTAAAATTTTTCGGAACTACCTAAGGATACATTGGAGACATTTGTGCCCCTTTTAAACAGTGATCATTTCATAAGAGCAGTGACACTCTTACATAACCACAGTGTAGTGATCTAAGTCAAATTTAACATTGATACTGTTGACTCATCTACAGTCCATGTTCAAATTTTGCTCCAGTAACATCATTTAAAAAACAAACAAACATGTTTTTATTGATATTTTAGAGAGGAAGGGAGAGAGAGAGAACATGGATTGGCTGCCTCCTGCACACCCCTACTGGGGATGGAGCCTGAAACCCAGGCATGTGCCCTGACGGGGAATCAAACCGGGACTTCTCAGTCCATGGGAGGACTAACACAATCCACTAAGCCACATCGGCCGGTCTCCAGTAACATTCTTTATGGCTTTTCTTTAGCCCAGGAACCAGTGCACAGTCATGCATTGCATTTTGTTCTCATGTCTCTAGTCTAAACGAAAAACAGTTCTTCAGGTTATTGGCCATTTGTGAAGAATCTAGGCTGGTTGTTATATAGAATGATCCCCAGTTTGGGTTTGTCCTCTGTTTACTCATGATTGTTTCTGGTGGTGCATTTTTGCAAGGGAAACAAAGAAGTGATATTGTGTCCTCAGTGCATCCTCACAGGAGGCACCTGATGTCTGTCTGACTCATTGGTGTCTTGATTAAGGTAGTGTCCATGAGATTTCTCCACTGTCACGTTATTATTTGTCCCTTGTAGTTAATAAATAAAGTATAGAGAGACATTTGAGACTTGGTCCTATTCATCAAACTTTTCTCTAAAAAGGATACTACAGCCCAGCCGGTGTGGCTTAGTGATTGAGTGTCAACCCATGTACCAAGAGGTCGCCAGTTTGATTCCTGGTCAGGGCACATGCCCAGGTTGTGAGTCCATTCCCCAGTGGGGGCATGCAAGAGGCAGCCAATCAATGTTCTCTCATCGATGTTTCTATCTCCCTCTCCCTCTTTCTCTAAAATCAATAAAAGAAACAAAAATTAAAAAGGATAATACAGGTAGACTTATTCAATGTAGAAGGTGAAGTGATTTGCTTATTTTCCACCAGTATTTTTATAGCCCAGTGGGGTGGGGCACCCTGAAATATAAGCAAAGGTATGCAAAAAAGTACACCGGAAGTCCAAAGCCAGCAGTTGGAGGATGTAGTCCAGGAGCCCTGAGAGTAACAAACATTTTGAGAATGTGAATAGTGGGCAGGTGTGTTTTGGTGAACCAGGGAGAATCTCCACACCAGGATAGAGGGAGCAGATTGTAGAATTTTCCTTCCCTGTTCAGTCAAATGTGTATTTCCCCCTCGATAATTTTAGAAGTACGGCCCTTTGGCAACACTGACCTCTAATCTAATAGCTAGATCATGAACCACACTGCCTGACGATACTTTGAAAGATGTCGTATAACAAGTAAAGTTAAAGTTGTTTTTGGTGACGCTAGCCTAGCAAAATAGCCCCCAAGAGAAAAATAACATCTTGGCTTCCATCAAGCCAGGTAAAAAGCCGAAGGCATCTTAAGTGCCCGAGAAGTGAAACGAGTTTAAAAATCAGAAATGTAAAAAGTTATAGGTCATTCTAGTGGGAAAACAGTTATCCAGCAGAGTAAACGGTGCCTAGGGGCTGAATCATTCCTTCCTGCCCGCTTCCCATCCTTTGAAACCATAGTATCTTTAGGTTGAAAGTCCAGGGGTTGAAGCAGAATCTTCAGGAGTTCTCGGGAAATGGCAGTTGAAGGTTAGTAACCTCAGATAGCGAGCAATCTGTTTTAAAATGCATTGGGGAAATACTGAATTTCTGATGCACTTACATCTAGGGCAGTCTTACACATTTTCTAAAGAAATGTGTTCAAATGAAGGCTCCAGCTGACTCAGTGGGTCACTTCCCCCTCTGAGCAATGCCTACTTCTCCCAGCAACACAAGGTTTAGCAGGTATCTGTTCAGTGTTTTCCATGGGCAAGTTCCTTGTGGATACAGGGGCAAGCAAAAATATTCAAGGTATTTCAATTAGGATTATCTTGGTTACAACAGATAGAAAATTTGATCCAAACTGGCTAAAGAAAGAAAAGGACTTTATTCACGGATATCTCTGAAAGTCCAAAGGCAGGGAGGGCCAGCGCAGGTCTGGTTTGCTGCGGAAGCCCATGTATGTCACCTGTGGGTCTCCTTCACTTC